GCCATCTGCATATCTTCATTGGAATAATGTCTATTCAGGTCTTCTGTCTATTTTTAAATTGGGTTGGTTGTTTTTGATATTGAATTGTATGAGCTGTTTATATATTTTAGGGGATATTACCCCCCTATTGGTCATATCATTTGCAAATATTTTTTCCCATTAGGTAGGTAGCCTTTTTGTTTTGTCAATAGTTTCCTTTGCTGTGCAAAAGCTTTTAAGTTTAATTAGGTCCCATTTAAATAAGTTTTGCTTTTATTCCTTTACCTTAGGAGACAGCCAAAAAATATTGCTGCAGTTTAAGTCAAAGAGTGTTCTGTCTATGTTCTCTTTTAGGAGTTTTATGGTTTTAAAGCTTACATTTTGGTCTTAAATACATTTTGAGTTTATTTTTGTATATAATGTGAGGAAATGTTCTAATCTCAATCTTTTACATGTAGCTGCCCACTTATTGAAGAGACTGTCTTTTCTCCATTGTATATTCTTACCTCCTTTGTCATAGATTAATTGACCATAAGTGCATGGGTTTATTTCTGGGCTCTCTATCTATTTCAGTGATCTATGTGTTCTGTTTTTGTGCCAGTACCATGCTGTTTTGATGACTGTAGTTTTGTAGTATAGTCTGAAGCCAGGGAGTGTGACATGTTCAGCTTTTTTTTCCCCCCTCAAGAGTGCTTTGTCAATTTGAGTTCTTTTGTAATTCTGTATACATTTTAGGATTATTTGTTCTAGTTCTGTGAAAAATATCATGGGTATTTTGATAGGGATTGCATTAAATCTGTAGATTGCTTTAGGTAATATGAAAATTTTAATGATATTAATTCTTCCAGTCCAAGAGCATGAGATATCTTTCTATTTCTTTGAATCATCTTCAGTTTCCTTCATTACTGTTTTATAGTTTTCAGGGTATAGATCTTTCACCTCCTCAGTTAAGTTTATTCCTAGGTATTTTTAAAAATACACTGTAATTAATTAATTTATTGTTGTAAACATATACTTTTAAAAACTGAAGTATAGTCAGTTTACAATGTTGCATCAATTTCTCGTGTACAGCATGTTTTAGTCATACATATACATACATATATTCGTTTTCACATTCTTTTTCATTATGGGTAATAAGATATTAAATATAGTTCCCCATGCTATACAGTATAAACTTGTTTATTTTATATATAGTAGTTAATATCTGCAAATCTTGAACTCCCATTTTATCCATTTCCACGCCCTTTTCCCCCTGGTAACTGTAAGTTTGTTTTCTATGTCTGTGAGTCTTTTTCTGTTTTATAAGTGAGTTCATGTATGTCTTTTTTTTTTTTTTAGATTCCACATAAAACTGATATCCTATGGTATTTTTCTTTCTCTTTCTGGCTTACTTCACTTAGAATGACAATCTCTAGGCCCATCCATATTGCTGCAAATGGTACTGTTTTATTCTTTTTATGTCTGAGTAGTATTCCATTGTGTATATATACCACAACTTCTTTATCCAGTCATCTGTTGATGGATATTTAGGTTGTTTCCTTATGTTGCCTATTGGATATAGTGCTGCTATCAACATTGGGGTGCATGTATCTTTATGAAATAGAGTTCTCTCAGGATTAAATGCAATTTTAAATGAGACTTTTTTAAGTTTCTCTTTCTGATATTTCAATATTAGTGTATAGAAACTCAACAGACTTCTGTATATTAATCTTGTATCTCGCAACCTTGCTGAATTCATTTATTAGTTTTAGTGGTCTTTCATTGGAGACTTTAGGATTCTCTATGTAGAGTATCATGTTATCTGCAAACAGTGACAGTTTTACTTCTTCCCTTCCAATTTGAGTACCTTTTATTTCTTTTTCTTGTCTGATATCTGTGACTAGAACTTCCAATGTTATATTAAATAGTAGGCTATATGTGTCTAGAAATTTGTCCATTGCTTCTAGGTTGTCCAGTTTTTTAGCATGTAACTGTTCATAGTATTTTTTGTGTATGTCTCTGTGGTATTAGTTGTTAGTTCTCCTCTTTCATTTCTTATTTTGTTTGTTTGAGTCTTCTCTCTTTTCTTCCTAATGAGTGTACCTAAAGGTTTATCAATTTTGTTTATTTTTTCAGAACACCAACTCTTGGTTTCACTTGTCTATTATTATTATTATTATTATTATTATTATTATTATTATTATTATTATTATTATTATTTTTGGTCTCTATTTATTTCCTCTATGATCTTTATTATTTCCTTCCTTCTGCTGATTTTGCACTTTATTCTTCTTTTTCTAATTTCTTTAGTTGGAAGATTAGGTTGTTTATTTGAGATTATTCTTGTTTCTTGAGATCTGTATTGCTATAAACTTCCATCCTAGAACTGCTTTTGCTGCATCCCATAAATTTTTTGTAAAGTCGTGCTTCCATTTTCATTTTTTAAAATATGTATATATATTTATTAAAGTATAGTCAGTTTACAATGTTGTGTCAATTTCTGGTGGACAGCATAATGCTTTAGTCATACATGAACATACCATTTTTATTTGTTTTAAGGCATTTTCTGTTTTCCTTATTGACATATTTTTTTTAATAGCATGTTGTTTAGTTTTCATGCACTTTCCCCATTTTTCTTCCTATAATTGATTTTTAGTTTCATATGTTTGTGGTTGGAAAAAATGCTTGATATAATTTCTATCCTCTTAAATTTGTTGAGACTTGTTTTGTGGCCTAGGATGTGACCTATCCTGGAGAATGCCATGCTTTTGAAAAGAACATGTATTCTGCTGTTTTTGGATGGAATGTTCTGTATATATTTATTAAATCTAACTGGTTTATGGTGTTATTTAAAACCACGATTGCCTTACTGATTTTCTACCTGGATGATCTGTATATTGATGTAAGTAGGGTGTTAAAGTCCCCTACTATTATTGTATTGCTGTCAATTTCTACTTTTATGTCTGTTAATATTTGTTTTATATATTTATGCTCCTGAATTGGGTGCATATATGTTAATAAGTATAACATCTTTTTCTTGTATCATTCCTTTATCATTATACAGCACCATTCTTTGTCTTTTCTTATAGACTTTGTTTTAGAGTGTATTTTTTTCTGATACATATATTGCTACCTCCTCTTTCTTGTCATTGCCATTCGCATGAGATATCTTTTTCCATGCCCTCTCTTTGAGTCTGTGTGTGTCTTTAGTTCTGAAGCAAGTCTCTTGTAAGCAGCATATAGATGGGTCTTGTTTTATTATCCAATCAGCCACCCAATGTCTTTTGATTGAAGCATTTAGTCCATTGACATTTAAAGTAATTATTGGTCGATATGTCCTTAGTGCCATTTCATTATTTGTTTTCTTCTTAATTTTTTATAGTTCTTCCCTGTTATTTTCTTCTTTGGGTTTCTTTACTGGTGGTTTCATGATTTCCTTTGGTGGTATGCTTGTGTTTTTTCCTCTCTTGTTTGTTTATCTATTGTATGTTTTGTCTTGTGTTACCATTGGGTTCATATATGTTGACCTATAACTGTATCTATTTGTTTTAAATAGGTAGTCCTTCAAGTTCAAACCTATTCTAAAAGAGTGACATTTTTTACTTCTTTCTCCCATTTTTTTGTTTTTGATGTAATATTTTACATCTTCATATTTATTCCCTGTACTGATTATTGTAGTTTTACTTGACTTTACAATTTTTTTTTTTAATCTTTGTACTAGCTTATTTAAGTGGCTGAACCTCAGCCTTTACTATACATTTGCCTTTACTACGGGGAATTTTTCCTTTTCTATAGATACTTACTTCTTATTGTAGCCTTTTATTTTTCCATTTAGAGAAGACCCTTCAAGGTTTCTTATAAGATTGGTTGAGTATTGATGAATTCTTTGAGTTTTTTCTTGTCTGAGAAGTTCTCTATCTCTCCATCTATTCTAAATGATAATCTTGCTGGGTAGAGTGTCTTAGGCTGCAGGTTTTCCCCTTTTAGCACCTTAAATACAGCATGACGCTCTTCTCTGGCCTGCAGAAGAATGTAAATGACTGTTCGTTTTTCTCTTGCTGCCTTTAGAATTCTCTCTTTAAGTTTTGTCATTTAAATTGTGACATATCTTGATGTGGGTCTGTTTGGGGTCATCTTGTTTGGGACCCTCTGTTCTTCCTGTACCTGGATATCTGTTTCCTTCTTCAGGCTTGGGAAATTTTCAGCCACAATTTCATAAAATATTTTTCAACCTCCTCTGTCTCTCTCTTCTCTTTCTGGGACCCCTATAATGCAAATGTTGGTATGCTGAATGTTATCCTGGAGATCTCTTAAACTCTTCTCATTTTAAAATTTATTTTCCTTTTTGCTGTTCTGATTGGGTGACCTCTGTTATTCTATCTTCCGGGTCCCTTATGTATTCTTCTGTATCACCTAGTCTGCTATGAATTCCTTCTGGTGTGTTTTTCGTTTCAGTTAATGTATTCTTTGGTTCTGACAGGTTATTTTTCGCATTTCCTAGTTCCTAGTTAAAATTCTCACTGTGTTCATCTATTCTTTCCCCTAATTCAGTTATCATTCTTATTGCTAATGCTTTGAATTCTTTATTTGGTAAATTGTTTATTTGGTTTCATTAGTTGTTTTTCCAGGAGTTTTCTCTTGCTCTTTCAATGGAGACAAATTTCTCTGTCTTCTCATTTTTCTTGTCTTTCTCTGTCTTCATGAAATTAGGTGAAACAGTTACCTATTACTCCTTATGTCGAAGCATCCTTATACAGTCTGCATTTGACAGTGACTTTGGTGGGAGAGGTGGACTCAATTATTATTATTATTATTATTAATTTTTATTTTTAAACTAGAAGTCCTGTGCTCGTTACTTTAGAACTCAAACAGACATCTAGCAACTGATTGAATTCCCTCGCTGCGGGCTTGGTGAACCAATTTTTAATCTCACCTTTAAAAACTGACTTGAGAAAGCTATCTGTGCTTTGTTTCTGACGAGTTTTGGGTTTTGTATTTGTAAACAAACTCTCTTTTCCCCTTCCTCCCACCCTGTTTCTCAGTGGCCGTTCCTGCAGCAGCACCCCCGGTGTGCCAGCCCAAGGGCGCCACTAACGGGCACTACGCGGCCCCACGCCTCTCCATCTCCTCCCGAGCCACAGTGGTAGCCAGAATGGAAGGTGCCTCCCAGGGGGGCCTGCAGACCGTCATGAAGTGGAAAACAGTGCTTGCTATCTTCGTAGTCGTGGTGGTCTACCTCGTCACTGGTGGTCTCGTCTTCCGGGCATTGGAGCAGCCCTTTGAGAGCAGCCAAAAGAACACCATTGCCTTGGAGAAGGCAGAATTCCTGCGGGATCATATCTGTGTGAGCCCACAGGAGCTGGAGACATTGATCCAGGTGAGCAGGGAGTGAGCCAAGCACAGAAAAACCTGTGGGGGAGAGGGCAGCATCGATTGTCTTTCTGGCTCACTGAGCTTTCCCTTTGGTTGAGAAGCTCCTGATGGTCATGGAGGTCCTCTCCAGGAGGTGACATTTGAGTGGAGACCTGTGACATTGTGGAGGAAGAGGGACCACACCTGCAATGGCACCGATGTAGGAGCAGGCTGTGTTCTGCATCACCTGCTTTTGGATGTGGTGTCCAGAGGCAGCAGCAGGCAGAGGGCTTTGGAGTTTCAAATTCAGGTCCACGTATGTATGCTGATTAACTTTTTAGTCAGTGTAAGATGCTGGGGTATAATGGCGCCTCGGGTGGCCAAAGAAAGAAAAAAAGAATTTTAAATAGGCAGGGATGTATTAACCTGTCTAAGGTCAATGAAAATGGAGCAGAGAAAAGGCCACTGATGTGGGATGGGGAGGCCGTTAGTGACTTGAAAGAGGCTCTGGTGAATTTGTTGGGATGAAATAATAAGGATAGGAGTAATAGTAATAATCAAGGATGCTGTTTTCAAATACTTACTGTGTGTCAGGCACTGTGCTAGGGCCTTTTCCTACCTTAGATATTAAGGAAAAATCATCCATAAGGGCCAAGAACTTAGGGCTGCCACCTACAGAAGAAAGACAGAGGGGCTGGGGTGGGTAGTGGCCTTGGCAAGGGTGAAGTGTGGCTAGGAAGGGATGTGGCAGACAGGGAGTCATCTGAGGTGTTATGATGGGAGGAAGTGAAACGGGAGGCTTAAGCAGTGTGTGGAAGGCAGAGAGGACCGAGTCCTAGGAAAGGGAAATGGTTGGGAGCCCAGTTGGAGGGCTTCACCCTAGAGGCAAGGGAAGGTGGCTGCCTCCAAGGCTGATGTTTGAATTCCCCTCCTGCACACCCCTCTGAAGCACAAAGAGTAGTGGTGGAAGGTGGTGACATTTATGGAGGCAAGGAAGAGTCCCATCTTTCTGGGGGTTCTAAAGTTTGGAAGGCAGATGGCGGAAAAGATGGCTTTCACAATTTCTTCTGTCTCTGGGATGTCAGCATCAAATTCTAATGGCTGCCACAATCCAGGATTATGTAGGATTCCCGAGTCTGGGCTGGCTTATTTATTTAACTATTTCCGGCCGCGCGGAAGGGGTAGGGGGATTCGGAGGCTACTAAGGATGTGGCCCCTTCATGATAGTTGTATTCTTTTCAATTAGTTTCGATAATCTGACTTGGCTCTTTGGTTAATAGAAATACACATCCCCCCCCCCCGGGCGTAAATATGATTTCATACCGATGTCCTATAATTTTTATTAAAAAATAAAACTTTAAAATGGTAAAAGCTAAGGCCAGTGTTTCCTATGACTCTTTCTTACATGGCCTTTTTTTTTCCTCCTTTCAATCTTGTGGTGATGAATGTGTTGTGCTAGTCTGTGCTAGATTAAGGCTCAGAATGCCACAGAGAATGGAGGAAACAATTCTGGAGTAATTTTAAGTAAGGAATTATACATGTTGTGGTGATTTGTGGTGAGATCCTTTTTATTTAGTTGCAATACCTATGATAACTTAAAGGGTGGTCTGAATTGAATCCACAGTCATGCCTGAATTTTCCTTAGACAGTGAGAGCCTGAGGAAAGGGATCACTTCTTATTATCTTAGCATCCATGGGTAGCCTCTGCGTGGCTTTGCATCTAATTATTGCCCAATAGAGAAACACTTTTGGAATGAGGTATCAAACTAAATCTATAATGTTGGTGATGCCGGAGATATCTGAGCTTATTCGTGCATTTGTTTATTGAGTCGGTATTTCTGTATTGCCCTTTCTTTGGCCTTCTCCTTATGATAGAGTTCGGAGGCCAGAATGAAGGACAGGATGGCAGAGGGTAGAGATTCTAATTCTGGTGCTGCCATTAAGACCCATCCTTTGACTTCAAAGGTTTCTCTGTGCAATGAAGGGTGTGTGTGTGTGTGTGTGTGTGTACACGCATGCATGCCCTTGAGATCGTTTTTATAACAATTAAAAAATCTACCCTTTATTGTGCACCTGTCATGAGCTAGGCTCCTTCCACCCATCATCTCATTTGATCTCTCTGACAACAATCTCCTCTAAATTGATATTATTACACTCATTTTATAGGTAAGGAAACCGATGCTAAAAGAGGTAACTTTCCAACCACCAAACTGACAGAGCTGGATTCAGTGATGTCTGCCTGACTCTATCCTGCCTCGCTCAATGAATCGACAGCCCTTTATCATAAGCTCAACTCTCTCTTTAACAGTTGTTCGACACTTTCTAGGATCTTAGCAGAATCAAAAAACACGGGTGTTCCTTGCTCTTTAACATAAAGCCTTTCTCTATTTCTTCCTCCTATACCTACTGACTACCACTCCTGGGCTTAGGGTGCTTCAAGAGCTCCCTCTACTATGATGTAAGGATTTATGCTTGTGTTTATCTAGAGGTTTTGTTGATTAAGTTAAAACGCTGAACCTGTGTCAATCAAAAATCGAATCATTATGGTTTACCCTTCAGTCCGCTGATTCCTTTACAGAATGAAAGTGTCCACACTTTTGGACCGTGGAGCACCCTCTCACTCTACACGTCTGAGCAGCAATGTGTGTAGTGTTCACAAGAAACAGTATTTGGGAGAGTTTTCAGTGTGATGTGTTCTAAGCTGGAAAAACAGTATACTGTATCTCACTGATATTATTATTATTATTGTACCTGACTAATAGGTAAAAAATTAGATTGATGGTGTTTATCTAATAATGTCAAGTCTTTTGGCTGGGTTGAGTGAACTTCTCATAAAACTAATCTGAAAGGTGTAATTCATCTTATTAATAACAAAAACTGAGTACCTGGAACAGCATAATCCCCCATGAAATGCCTGGATAGCTTAAAAAAGCCAAAGCTGGGGGGGGGTTTTCCAAAGACTTGAAGCACTTTTAGAGGGTACCATGGGACTCTGGAGGAGACAGAGGGGTCACCATCCCTGACCCAGCTGCTGTTCTGGAGGAGACGGTCTCATTAATTAATTCACCTATGCATTCTTTAAGTTGCTATTGAGCTTCTGTTACATCAAGTAACATGCTAGGTGTTAGGGACAGAAAGGATGAGAATAAAATGTACCTTAAGCAAGTTGCTAACCTCTCTGTGATTCCATTTCATTATCAAAAAAACCTGCCTAAAATCCCTCACCCTTAGGGCCTGGAGAGGATTAAATTCTATAATTCATGAGAAGAGCTTTGAACTGTGCTTGGCACATGGTGAGCACATACAAAAAAGATAACTGTGGTTGCCACTGCTGTTTAAAGTATTATTCAAGGAGCCCAGAATTTCAAGTAGGCTTTCTTAATGGGGATGGAGTTTGTTTCCAGAGGGCATCTGGTGATGTCTGGAGACATTTTCGATTGTCAGAACTGGAGAGATGCTACAGACATCTAGTGAGTAAGGGTGCTGGTAAACACCCACCAAGGCACAGCATAGCCACTCATCACAGAGAGTTATCCAGTCGAACATGCAATAGGTTGAGAAACCCTAGAGGAAGAGGCATGTAGACCAATAATTAGAATTCATTGGAGTGGAGCTATTTTTTCCCAGTTTTACTGAGGTACAATTGACATACATGACTGTATAAGTTTAAAGTGTACAGCATAACAGTTTGAACATGTATTGGGACATGGTTACTGCAATAAGTTGAGTTAGCATCCATCATCTCATATAGATACTATAAAGAGAAAACCCTTTTTTTTTCTTGTGGTGAGAACTCTTAGATTTGCTCTCTTACCAACTTTCGTACATACCATATGGCAGTGTTAACTATAGTCATAATGTACCTTACAGCCCTATTACTTAACGTATCTCACAACTGGAAGTTTGTACCTTTCCATCACCTTCCTCCAACTCCCCTCCCCCCACCTCCCAGCTCTGACCTTTTTATCTATGAGTTTTTTGTCTTAAGATTCCACATATAGGGAACTCTAATTCAAAAAGATACATGCACCCCAATGTTCAAAGCAGCACTATATATAATAGCCAACACATGGAAGCAACCTAAATGTCCATCAACAGATGACCGGATAAAGAAGTTGTGGTGTATCTATACAGTGGAATACTATTCAGCCATTAAAAAAGAATAAAATAATGCCATTTGCAGCAACAGGGGTGGACCTAGAGATTGTCATTCTAAGTGAAGTAAGCCAGAAAGAGAAAGAAAACTACCATATGATATCACGTATATGTGGAATCTAAAAAGAAAAAGAAAAAAAAAGGGACACTATGAACTCATCTTAAAAAACAGAGACAGAATCACATATACAGTAAAGAATCTTATGGTTACTAGGGAAAGTGGGTGGGAAGGGTTAAATTTGGGAGTTTGAGATTTACAAATGTTAGCAACTATATATAAAAATAGATTTATAAAAAGTTTCTGCTGTATAACACAGGGAACTATATTCAATATCTTGTAATAACCTTTAAAGAAAAAAATATGAAAATGAATATATATATGCATATGCATGACTGGGACATTGTGCTGTACACAAAAAGTGAACACATTATAACTGATGGTACTTCAATTAAAAAAAAGATTCCACATGTAAGTGAGAGCATACAGCATTTGTCTTTGTCTGTCTTATTTTGCTTAGCATATTTTTCTCAGGTCCACCCATGTTTTTGCAAAAGGCAAGGTTTCCTCATTTTTATGGCTGAATAATATTCCATTGTGATATATATATATATAATACATACACACATATTATGTGTGTGTGTGTGTGTGTGTGTGTGTGTGTAAAATCACAACTTCTTTATCCATTCATCCATCAGTGGACATGTAAGTTGCTTCTGTGTCTTGGCTGTTGTGAACGAGGCTGCAGTGAACATGGGAGTGCAGATATCTCTTCGAGATCCTGATTTCAATTTTTTGGGCTATGTTCCCAGAAGTGGAGTTGCTGGATCATATGGTAGTTCTATTTTTAATGTTTTGAGGAAACTTCATAC